AAAAAAAAAAAAAAAAAAAAGGCATTGCACAATGTTGTAGCCAGAAGTAAGAATCACTTCTTAAAATCATAAATTAGTTAAGCCATAATATTTAAAATTCTCCATTTACATTTTTTAATTGTCAATCTAGCCTCCATTCCATCTCCAACTCCAATCAAAGGAAAAACACATAATCAGGAGAGAAATTCACTAGCATCAAATGAGTACACTTGTGCAAGTGGTTAAGAACATGATAGGGTTACAATTATATATGATAGTAGAAATTTATAAAATTGGTTGTTATATGAATAATTTTTTTATTTAAAAATTTATTAATAATATTATTTATTTATTTAATATTTTATTTTATTTTATTTTATTTTATACTATATAAAATTATAAATTTATAATTTTAAAAATAATATTCTAATTATAATATTACAATAAAAATATATATTTTTTATTAAAAGAATCATGTTTTAATTCTATGATATAGAAAGAGATTGGAAAAGATATCTTATTATATAATCCATAATTAGACATAAATAAATAAAAAAATCCAAATACATAAGGAGATAATTCCTCCTAATGGATAGCGCCAAATAATCCGAACTCACTCAATCCCAGCTTGCATTACCCCTAACTTCTTTCAAGTCTTAATGTTGTCAACCTCTCATCTAGATTTTTTTTGCACAGCAAATATAGTTTATTATATAAAGTACAAAGGGTACTATTGTCCATGTTACAAAAATAGGTAAATATTGAGCATCTACTGACTCTGTCTAATATCCAACAAAAGACAATAAGTTGCTCAATACAACCTGTAAATCAATATACAATGATTCAATCCATCCCACATATCATAAAGACCATTTCAGCCAAGTATGGATCAAGCCCCTATTTCCTACCACAGTTATCTTTGAGGCATGTCATTGGATTGTATAACCAATCATAAAGATGTTGAGCCCTCAGCTTGACCTTCTCTTTTTCAAGTAATATGTAGGACATTTCTCCCAACACATGTTCATTAATTTTTATTAGCCATCTCAAAGAATTGAATGTTAACAAGATGAGAGCAGATCACTTGCAAATTAGTTTAAAGTTGAAATTAGTCTTTTCGAATGCAAGTTTGTGCCAATATTCTTTCTTAGTGACAAAGGCATGTAGCATAAAGATATTAATTTTTTTTATAGGATATAGTACATTAATATTGCATAATCACACCTAAATCTCTTAAATAGAAGTGATACGATATTTGCATGAATTTCCAAAAAGTAAATAGAGGTGATATGGAAGTTTAAATAAAATCTTTGACTTCATGATGTATATTCTACCAAATAATGATGGCGCCTATTCAGGGCACATGGCAAAGAGGGCTGGGTGGTTGCCTGCCCAATGGTAATAGCATCCATAGTGGAGCATCAACTCCATGTTAGATCAAGTCAAGACTCCGA